TTGTCATCAAGATTCATTTCCTGGGAAACACAGGGAGAGGTCAGAAATAATCTCTGCTTTTAGGGGGAAGGGAGATTATGAGTATCATTTATTCATCATAGGTTGCTTTAAGTCAAAATAATCAATAGACCATTTTGTCACCTCTTGGGGTACTTGATCTGGTGCCTGACACTCCACTAAAACATAATGCATTAGATGCTCCTTCTGGATCTTTCCTGGCATCAGAAAGAGGGACTCTGTTGTTAAAATTCTACTGAACATGGTGCTGCCACTTTGTGCCTTCACTTCACTCATGTCCCATTAGGGGATGTATTTAACTCACATTCCTGGAATAAGGGTTATTTTCTGAAATCCTGATTCCTCCCAAGGTAGGTCTGGCCTGGTAGGCTCAGAGGGAGGTTCCACAAAAGGCTGATGGTGTATGGTGCACTTAGGTGAGTTCCTTTGCACACATCACGCACAGGAGGGGTCCCGTGTAGAGAGGTGGAAATCTGACCTGCTTTCCAGCCACTTCTTCATGACTCCATGTGTTAGCACCCCCAAGTGAAAGAGCGATTGTATCATACACTGGCCCCAAATCGCCTCACTCCCCTGCTACCTCACAAGAGGTATGTCATGGTGGATGACTGCCCCCATCCCCAGAGCAATCAGAATTAATTAGCAGCTCTTTGGAACTGTTGAAATTCTAGATTTCCCTACTATTTCCCACTCATAAAATAGGAACAGTGGGGAAATGTGGCATTTGGTAGCGTTTTTAGGCCACTGGCTATTTTAAGAGTTTAGGATAGTCAACCGTTGTATGAAAACTTACCTCCTTCCACAGCAGGTTACTTACAAAAGGAGAAGACTTTCGTCTCAGAATCAAAGCTAAGATTATCAGAGTGAGAAAGAACATTCTTCCTGCAGTCAGATTTTACTCACTATTCTAGATCTTGAGTTGGCAAAGGGCCCTGTGAGGTTTGTTCTGTGATGAACCCTTTTGTGAAGGCGCAGGTAAATTAAAAGAGGATTAATTGCCAAGTGAAAATTTTCCATATCAACCTGGCCTTCGACGTAGCCTAGGGCCGTGGTTCTCAAAGAATGGGGCCACAGTCCAGTCGCAGGATTAGCATCCCATAGGAATTGGCAGAAGGCCACAGACCAATAGATTTTTAAATGCTGGAGGTGGGTCCTAGTGATGCACGTTTAACAAGCTCTCCAGGGGCTTCCAAAGTAAGCTAAAGTGGCAGAGCCAAAGGCCTGGTGAAAATTCTTTGCAATGTTCTATAGCAACGCTGCTCATTTAGCTTTAGGGAAGACCATCAGGATCCTCAGCTCCCTGAAGTGCCCCGTTGAGGAGATTTAGAGGATTCTCTAACAGATGAGTTGTTGACAAGCTGTTGCCTTAAAAGGCTTAGGGGGCGTGTAGAGAATTAAGTTCAACGTCTGCAAGTAGGAGTAACTAATTTAAATTTAAGACTATTGTTTTCTCTAAGAAGGATGAAAATAAAATAAAGATATCACAAATTCAGAATTAAATCAAATACATCTTTTTACATTGTCGTGAACCATATCTATGTACTATTTCTTCCAGTAGAGATATTTAGAGAAATGTTGAGCTAGGTGAGAAAGTAAGTGCTTTCCTTTGAAATGCCCTAACTAATAATCTTACCTATGTAGAGTGATTCCAAAATGACTTCAGTATGGGGAATTTGAGTCCCCTTGGGAGTCTCTTCTTGATATAATAGAGACTAGAGAATGTTCTGGCTTTAATTCGAGCCTGTGGAACAAAATTTCTAAGAAGTCATTTTATATTCTAGAACTCTGAATTCTTCCTTGAATTTATTTCATCTGGTGAAAAGCTCTCTCTTCACAACTCTTATAATCTGTTCCTTGATTATAATCACAACGCATCTAAGTGCAACGAAACTTTGGAGAAAGGACCAATTACTATTAAATCTGAAAATTGTGTTAAAATTAAGAGTTTAATCTGAGAGATTAGATCTTGTGTAGAATGTCAGGAGCCTTTGCCTGTTGGAGAAAACAAATGCATACAACCACAGTGCTCTAATTGTTCATGCATCATTAAAGAAATATTTATTGATAATTGACTTTGGGAAGCTGTTTTAGCCCTCAAAACACAGCAGTAAACAAAACAGATATATTCTCCAACCTCTTGGAAGTTAATTCTAGTGAGTAAATGCATAATATGATATCAACGAGTGATGAATATGTTAGCATGCATCCAAGGACCGTACCCAGGGACCCCAAAGGGTTGATTTGAAGTGGAGTCCATGAGGCCAAAAAGCTTGGCACAAGTCAAAGGCACCTTCTGGTGGAAAACTATAGAGAAGGAGGGAAAGTGGCCAAGCAAGTCTAAGATGAAAGGAGTGAAATTAAAGTGCAAAGCGCGTGTCAGCCTCCCTACTGGCCCCTCACCCACGTGTCTTCCCCATAGAGCGTTCAAATGTCTCTGCGTCACTCTTCCACGTATCTCCTTCCATGTCTCCTTTCCAGCAGTACCAGGGTACCAGTCAGGCAGCAGCAGCAAGAGCTCTTTTTCTCACCTACTTTCTGTGTTATTGTAGCCACTGGCCACTCAGCTCTATCCCCTAGCTCCCAGTAGCTAGTCCAAGGTGGCTGCCTGTAAGTGGGGGCAGTTAACTTGGCACCTCTCCCTTTTATGGTGATGTTTCTGTAACAATCCCCGCTTTTCATTTTTGCCACCATTTTCTGATTTGGGCACTGTCATCCTTAACTTTCATTTTACTCTCATCACACTGGAATAACCTCTATGTCTATACTCGCCACCTGCTGTATTTCAATGCATTCTCCTGTGTTATTAGTCTCATATTTCCTGTTCTCGGTGTAATTCCTAGAAGATAGTAGGTGCTTAATAAATGCATGTTGAATATATTGAAATCTATTTAAAATAGATTGAATTAAATGTGGAGTTTGCTATTTTTTTTAATAAAGATTATCTCTTTCATTTTCCATTTTTTCTCTCAAAATGGAAAAGTGGAAGCATTGGGTTAGTATCTAAATGCACTGGGGTGTTTACAGTAAATATTCCAAATAGGAACTGTGGTTGGAATAAAGAATTGTTTTAGGCTGCTCGATGCAAATTGTTGTCTAGCTTTTATATTCCTCTATATTCTTTATTTCCTCTACCTCCTTCATTTACCTGCACATATTTTAAAGGTACTTACATTTCTCACAAGATGAGCCCTGATATTTATGCAGTGGATATGCTAAAATTAGATTTAGAAACAATTTCTCCAACACTGGAGTAGAGTAGTGCCAATATATAAGGCATAGAAATGGGAACCAAAGCAAAAAAATACTACACTGCAATCATCCGATTTAGGAACCAGATAGCACAGGAAGAGAAAAGGACTGTAACCTTTCTCTAAAAGAGAATAACCTCTTACATTCACACCTTTCCTTAAATTTCAGAACAAATGCAGTATAGCTTTCCCTTGTAATTTTCTCAAAAAACGTTATATAGAGAAAAACCATCTGCGTACTGGATGACATTCTTTTTAGGGACCAATGTGCATTAGAAAACATAAACTAATAGAAGTGGGTGTTTTTCATGACTATTTCTAGATTCTTGGGTTACAAATTGTTGGCAATATTTAGCATGGATCCCACACAATGCACGTGTGTCAGGAGCAGGAAGCCACAACGCTGTGTCCCACGACTTCTGATGTGAGCTGCTACAGGGACAGAAGGCAACTGAATGCCAATCGCAAGGCCTGCATTTAACCTGCATGTGGGAACCACACCCATCCCAAAGGCACAGGGATTTTGATAAGTTCCAGTTGGTGATGTTTCATTAATACATTTTCAACTGAATGACATAGATAATGCCGGATGGGGATTTCACAAGATTGCCATTTAAAAGTGGTAGTTTTACTCATGCCAATGTAAAAGTAGCCTGCAGATGCTTCCCACTATTAGCCTTTCTTAAGGGTTACCTCTTGCAGATGTGCATTTTCAGTATGTCAAATCCATCTCCCCCACCTCGCCTCCCCTGCTAGGTGGTGGAGACTATGAGGATGTAGAACGCCGCCCATTGGAACCGGAGAGCTCATGATAACAACAGAGCTGATTATATTCTCTGATTCCTAGACTCATTCTCTTCTATAGGATGAGTGATTGCAAAGGATGAGAATGTGAAGAGATAGTCTATGCTGAGCTGAGCAGTAACAACCAAGGTTAGATGCCCCCGGTTCTGTGTCACCACCTCCTCTCTAATTTCTGCTCCAGATATACATTGGAGTAATACCTGCATGGACGAGACAGTCCAACAAAAAGTCAAAGCTACAGTCACCATAACAAGTGCATGGACTTATTATGAGCTGAATTATGTTCCTCTAAAATCCATAAATTAGAGACCTAACCCTCCATGTGACTGTGTTTGGAGATAGGGCCTTTATGGGGGTAATTAAGATGAAGTAAGTCAGATGGGCAGGGCCCTGATCCAATAGGACCCAGGTCATAAGAAGAAGAAGAAACACAAGGGACATGTGTGCACAGAGAAAACACCAGGTGAGGACTCAGTGAGAAGACGACCTTCTGCTAGCCAAGGAGGGAGACCTAAGACAAACCAAACCTGTGGACACTGGACACCTTTACCTTGGCTTTCCAGGCTCCAGAACTATGGAAAATAGAATTGTCTAGGCCACCTAAGCTGTGATATTTGGTTATGGCTGTCCAAGCCAACTGTTGCATACCCAGCCCTCTTCTCCACCATGATGACACTCTTGTTGCTTCAGAAACTCCTCAAATTCCTGGCTCTTCTTGTCATTGCTCATTTCCTCACCCCTATTCCCCCTGCTACAGGCTTGCTAACTCTGCTAACTCTTGCCACTGTCTCTTCTCTGCCAGTCAGCCCCCACTCCATGCCAGCCTTCCCAACCTGGTGCCTTATCTTGGCTTCTAAGTTTGCTCTGTAGACAAAGACCTGCAACGCTCTGAGTAGAACTCAAGAAATTATTTTTTTTTTCCTCCTTCTTCAACTTTCCTCAATTAGTCATTTCCATATTCAGTTGATGCTGCTGAAGTGGATACAACTTCACAGTGTCTGTCCATGTAAGTTTAGGAGCCCTAAAATAAGAAGTAAGATCTATTAAATTACTGATCTGTATGCAAACTATTTTAGGAGAATACCTATATTAAGTCTCTGGGTCCTGGTAAGCATCCCATGATGTACATGATTGATCAACATGGAAAAGTAAAGCACAAAGAAGTTAAGTACTTTGCCCAAAGTCACACAGCAAGGAAGATCCCTGACAGTCGGGAAACTATGTACAAGACCTGCTCCTAGTCTGGAATCATCTCTTGCTAAAACCTAAATCTAGATTTTAACCACCATTTTAACTTGTGCTAGGAAGATCTATGACCTGCAGGAACAGCATATATTACACTTGAAAGGCTTAATTCTGAGTATCAGTTTTATTCCTTATTATTTATCAAATCTTAGGGGAAAGCAAAGAGGTATTACTTGTAAATAGACTTATGTAAAACTTCCCTGGGAGTTGCTCAAAGATGAATAATAACAGAGTTCAAGAGCAAAATATAGGTATTTCTGCATGAAACCAAATCTGAATGTCTGTCCTCTCTTTCTAGGTTACTCTTCACAATTAAAATTGGTAGAGTTGAATTGAACTGCTTGCTGACTATTTTATGTAATTTTGCTCTATCTAATAAATACCTTGAAGATTAACACCAAAGCCCTTGATAACTCTGGCATAATTGTGAAAACATAAGTCATCAATTCAATATTCTCAAAATTTCAGTTGTCAAAATCTGAGCTGCAACTTAATACTCAGTTGTGTAGGTACCTGATCACTCATAGCTGCTAGTGAGAAATCTAATATCTATAAAATCTTTCTTTTTTTTTTTACTGCAACAAACTGTAAGAAAGGTCACAACAGTGACAGACAAGCAGAAAGTTTCTAGCAAATCACAAAAAAAAAAAAAAAAAAGGAAAAAGCTTTCAAGGATATTTCTATCATTAAAAAATCCCCAAGGGGAAAGGAACCCCACTTTCATGTTTCAGAGCAAACACTCAAAAGACAAAGCAAAATACACATAAAATGCTTTTAAATCATTACGTAGACCTGATAAGTATTCCAAATGCAATTTAATAACAGAGTTTCCAGAAGAAAAATCCTATTTTCAAGCAAATTCTATTTGTGCCTATTGATGGCAGATCTGATCATCGTGGAGTTAAGCAAGTGACAAGTGATGGTAAAATGGACAGAGGCTCGCAATTGAGCCAGAATCGCTTCATAGCTACAAGTGCGGCATTAGGCAATAAAATAGATTTAAGTGCATCTTAACATGTCTTTATTGTAAATTCATTCCCTTCTCTTTTGCCAATTAACAAAGCAATGAACTTTGTGCCCCCTGGTGAGCTTGGTGAAGACAATTGGGACAGGTCTAGTCATAAGGTGTTTGCAATAGTGACAGTTCTCTCATGGTGTGTTTTACTTTCTATAAAGACAGGTACATAAATTCACATAAAAATAATGGTGAAGGCCTATATGCCTTACTACACAATGGACTCACATACCTACAGGTATATCTTTCTTTTCCCTTAGGAATATAGCACATTGGGAAGCTGAGATTCAAGTAAGGCTGAAAATGAAGGTTATTTTTTTCCACCTTTTCAACTAGGACAGTAAAAGTATTAGTGAATATTTCCTATTAAAAAGCATCAGAGTCTAGCACTTACAATTTATCCACTTTCAGCTTGGTTTGGAACTAATTTCACTCTCCTGTGATGACAAAAAGATCCTAATTTTAAATCAGTGTACAGTTAAGAGAGAGGCATTCTTATTTTTGTGGAGGGAATTCTGAGTCCAAGAAGAAAAATGACTTTCCTGTTTGTAAGCTAACCCTCAAGAGCACTCAGGGTGTAAACTAAAACCTTCCTTTAGCCCAACCCAGTCCCTAAACCCCTGCTATTCAGAGTTCTCCTAGCCAGTTCCCTTAAGCAATGATGCCTTTACAACTGCCTTATTTTCTGCTTCTGAACACACAGATTTTCTAAAATGAAGACCTTTCCCCCCTTGGCAGTAATTCCTCTGGTTTTAACGATAGGGATTCTCCAGGATCAGAACACTCTTGGGAGATTCAGGCAGATTGGGACTCTGGCTGCAGCTCTGCTCTTGCTTTTATGGCTTCTTGCAAGTTGCAGTTGAATATCGACAGGAAATACATCCTCGTTCTGTGGTCCCTACTGTAATATGCCCTTTTACATCGGAAATCAAATACTTGAATTTCCTGCACAAATCACAGCTGTGTTCTGAAAGTCGGTCTTCCTTCTGGATATTATCAATTGAAGTTACAAGCCCTCAATAAGATAAAGTCAAGTGTTATTTAGAATAGTGTAATTTCAAACACTATGTTGCCTTAAATATTGTGTTAAATAGACCTCTATTTTTAGAAATGGAACTTCGCAACCATTATGTTTAAAGATAGACTGACAGTTGGGATGTGACTGTATGTTTGTGAAGTTTGCATTGTCTGTCCACATATAAATTTACCAATATACACATTTTGTATAAACATATTGATGCCCTGTCACTGACTCCACGGGGCAAGCTTAAGCTCGCCTTTACTTTGACATCGGTGAATATCCAGATCTCGTCCTGGCAGGGCTGCCTCTAATTGGAACAACAACCTTAGAAATTTAACTTAGAGCATTTACCTTTGTTTCTTTGAGTAGCTAGTGGGGGTGCAAAGTGAACTTACCTCAATGTCTTCTGTGGCCAAGGACCGTATGGAATTTTTTTCTTTCTCCAGGGAGGGAAGATCCATAATCCTCAAATACAGAGAAACCTCAAAGTGAAATAATTTGTAAATTTCAGCCACCGTCACTGTAAAAACATTTTTCTTGCCCATTTATCTCGCTCTTCATAGACACGTGTTTTCCTGTTCCGTTTTATTTCAAGTCAAATCCAAATAAATTATTGAAGGGAGAAATGTTTGGAAATTTGGGTTCCTATTAACTCTGGCAATGTCTGGCTTGTCACTGTGTCTTTCTTGGTGGTCAATAGAAATGAGAATCTTAAAAATTAATGAAAGTCCAAGACCTGAATCTGTACTAGGTCCTCTAGCATGCCCCTAATTTTGAACAACAATCACAGAGGAAATGATTGGTGAGTTCCCTCCTGTGTATATGGAGATAGTGCTGTAAAAACACAAAGCCAGAGTTGTCTACCTAGGACAGTTTTTTTGGAATGAAAGGCCAGTCTCCAGAGGACTCATGATGACAGTGTCTGGCACAGCCCCTCCTCCTGCATGGTCACTTGTGTTCATACCCAAAAGACCACTGACCCAATACAGAGGTTTGAGGACCATGAACACCCTGTTCATTTGAGGAGAATCCGTCGCTCTGGAGAATCGATATCAGGCCAACATCACTTACCTTCAGGGGCTGCTTTCTGGACACTCAGTCGAGGGGCAGAGACTCTGCCGGGCCTGGTCGGGGTTCTGCAGTACTTTCCTTATACATCGACTAATTCTGAGCCTCTTGTCACACCTCACCACACGGATAGACCTGTAGAAGTACTTGTTCCCACAGAAACTGAAATCCCTGACAGAATAAAGGCAAATAAAAAACATAATTGATTATTTAAACCATTCTCACCATTGCAAGAAAGTTCTCTCCCTATTATGAAATCAGTTCCTCAAACTAAGAGAGATGGCAGTAGCCACTGCTTGGCTGCAAGGTGTCTACCTTGACAGCCTCATCCAGAGTCCTTAGTGGACTGTCTGCCTTCTCCTAACCATTAAGAATGTGCTAATAGGGGGAGATGGGATGACTTGGAAACTAGGAAATATGGCATGGTTTAAATCCACCCAGGTTATTACCGAATGAAAAGTTTCATCATCTGACAACTGTTAAGGAGTTTAAAAAGAGCTAGTGGCTGCTTTCCAAGTCAAATATTATTGAGAATACATACAGAAATGTCAGCCTAATGGAATTTCTAAGGACAGTCTTAGTGCAATATAGCTCCAGGCCATGAGTGCAGGTCCCTGATGATGCAATAATGGGTGCTGCAAACACTGCCAATCAAGCCAGACCCCAGTTCTTCTCGCAGTGCCACCCAGAGGCTGGGTCCACCCCCAGACCCAGGATCCTGTGGGTGGGTGAATCCAAGCATCCTCCACCACATTGTGGGTAGGAAGCCAGCCCATGTGCGTCCGCCGACCACACTTACTGTTGATCTGAGGCAGAAGTAGGTGCCAGAGTGGATGCAGCTTTCCCTGCAGGCCTCTGGTATTACTCTGGGAAGGCAGAATATATGACTTCAGAACCTCTGGGTTCACAAATAACTTCTCAGTCCTTGCTGCTTCTAAAGGTTTGACCAGATGCCTCTACAAAGCCTAGTTCCAGATGCCCATAAACCTTGCAGATCTCTGGCCAGTGTCCCATCTGGTTTTTTGGTTCTATCCTGAGAGCAGGGCAGCTGCTTCTGAACAAGCATTCTGGTAGGCAAATACCCCTCTGCAGATATTTAAAATAAGTTCTCTCTTTATAAATAATGGGAATCTGTGGCCTAGTGGATAGTAGGTTTGTGTTGCTCACACATGAAGCCTCAAGTCCTCAAAGGCAGAGTTAGCACATCCACAATCTCAAACATTCTTAAACCCTCCCAGCACTTGGTACAATGTTCTGGCCCAAGAGGTGCCTGACGCACGAGTCCATGCTTTATGTGCCTACCTGCCCCAATGACTAGATCTGGTGGTATATCCCCAAAATTAGCATGAAGTTAGATTAGGTTAGCAGTCAACTATATGGGGGAAGCCACTAGTCTAGATAATGTGAGAAAACAAATGAACTTATTCAGCCAGCCTTCTGAAAACATAAGAGGACTCTAGGTTTTTTCCCCAGCTGTGATTTAGCCTCCAGAACAGTCTTACACTGAGAGCTAATCATTCAAACATAGGTGGACAGTCCCCAGCCCCTCAGAGGATTCATCAACACTGTCATCATTTTAAGCCATACGTAATAAACCCTTCCAGAGTGTACCCACCCACCCCACCAGCGTTATTTGAGAAGAGTATCTCTTCTGTTCTCTAGAGCTTCTGATGTGTTTCCAAAGTGGTTCAACCAAACCATCAGTTTTAATCAAAGATTGAACCTTGAAACAAACAAAAGCTGTGTCATGTTCACATTTGACACTCAGTCAAGAGAAAACGAGAGGGGTGTGGTGTGACTTTGGAGAAAAATGTGTGTATTGTATGCTTTTCTCCAGTATTAAAAGAAAACGGGTCATAAAATAGTCATGAGTCGCTGATGATCTGAAACCCCGCAGCCCCCCGTGACCCAGGAAAGAGAAACATCGAATTTGCATGTTATCCTAAACTCTGCTTTGTTCATCCACATAGGAAAATGCTTTTGAATGCATCGTCGCCAGTGATTGGCAGAGAATAATTATATCGTCCCTGTACAGTTCTGAAAGATTAAAAGGTAGATTAAAAAATAATTTAAAGGTAATAGTGTGCACAGTTATTTCTCTTCCATTTGTGTAAATAATCAGTAATCAGAATAGGAAAAAAAGCAAAAAAAAAATCTCTTTGAAAATATGCATTGTTATGCAGAGTGGCTGTCATCTCAGCATAATCAGATGAATTTTTGTTTGCAAATTATAAATTATTCAGAAAGCTGCTTATTACAGTTATGTGGCTGTTTACCGTGGGAGGGAGGGAGACCGCACTTCATTTTCCTCATGTACACTCTAAAAACGGAGACCAAAATAAAGTGTTTGGCACATTTAGTGGGAGTGCCTGGTCCAGGGCAAACACAAAGGGAAGACAGGACTGCAATTGCTGAGTTGCATTCGGGAATCCAAAATATAATTGCATTTGGGGATTTTGCAGCAGCTTCTTCACGTGTAACAGTCTTCGCAGCACAGACTCCAGGCTGGTGTGTCACATACTCTGAGCTTGCTGGTGAGTGTCCTTATTGAAGGTCACAATAGGAATCTGACAGGAACAAGTACGGTGTCCAAAGCGAACTGCTACTTTGAGAAGCAATCAGGCTGTCTCCACCGGGCTGATTGCCTCCAACTCCACCTCAAGGCATTTAGCAAAGCGGCAGCCAGGCCTTGATTAATCAGCAGAGGCGCTAATGAACCAGCCTTGCCTGAGGTGTCCCGAGCCCTCTGATTCCTAGCTGCCTCTGTAGTGGGTGGCTCAGCCCCACTTCTGCTGGGCACAGACATTTGATGACAGAGAAAAAGTCCCGCTAAGGGATGCATTCATGTGGGTGGCTGTGTCTCAGTGCTTCGATGTAAATATTTTGTACTTGGAGGGTGAGATGCAGGGAGATTGGAGTCAGATTTGGGCTGAGATCTTGACCTGAGTGAGTCCCATAGTGGCAGAACTTAGGGGTCAGAAGCACTGTATGTGCAGTGCTGTCTGGGCCCCCAAAAGGCACCCAGGGTGTGAGAGCGAGCACCTCAGTGCACCTTCACCCCTTTCTGAACCTGACAAGGCTACAGAGTGCAGAGGGCTGATGACTCAGACTGGACACTCCAGGAGCCCGGTCTGGTGCAACATTCATGTATAGTGTGTATTTTTTTTTAATATTTATTTATTTGTACAAGAGCTGGGGTACAGGTCAGAGGCGTGGGAGGGTGAGAGGATTCACCAGAGTGGAGAGCAGAACAGGCAGACGGACCGAAAGCACTGCTGAAGGGAGCAGCGGGCAAGACAGGAGAGGTCTGCCGTGCCATGTGGGAATCTGCCTGGCCGGCTGGGAATCGAACCCGAGCTGCAGAGGCTGTGGACAGCTTCACAGTGCTGCGCTCAACCTGCTGTGCCTCGGGGGCGGCCCCCTCATGTCCAGTGTGTATTTGAGAATCTGGTCCCCAAAGCCTTAGGAAAGGAGCGGGGAAGGGAGACGGAGGGAAAGTTTGCATCATCAACCCAGTGTCTCTGGAGACACTGAAGCTTAAGCACACTGGGAAGCTTAGAACTCTGGGGGGGGAGGGGAGGGGCCGGGAATGCCCTGCACAATGTTCCCCAAATGCACGACTGCAGGGGCTGGTTGCCTGGGGGAAGAGGCAGGGATCCATCTCTTCACCTGCGGGTCTGCCATATGCATGGGCCATGCAGGCTCTGTCACCAGAGCAAGACCTCCGGCAAAACGTCACAGATGCTGGGAGTTGAGCAGCACAAGGGGATACAGGCACAAACCCATCTGCTTCACCTACAAAGCCAACATGCCCGCATTGCAAAAATGTGTATGTCTCAATATTTCCCAACCCCTTGGGCTAGAATTCTTAATTAGTTTGCATCCCCTGAATGCTCTCTGAGTGGTAACCAGGTCCATGGTCCAGGAGCCTACTGGGTGGGCAGAGCAAGTCGTATGTTATTTAAAAAACCTTCCTTGGCTATTCCACAAAGTAGACTCCTGCCCCCAGGTACGAGAGACAGATGACGAGGGCTTCTGTATCCTGCCGCGTCTTACTGGTGCTGGTACTGGCCTCCACAGATCACTTTCTGGTAGAGGGGCCCAGGCCAAGTCTACATAAGCCAATAGGTTCTCCCAGCTGGACTCAGACCTCTTGGTCTCTGCTTAGACCCGACATGCATAAGGGTCGTGGTGGACAGACCTGAACCTTCCATGGACACAGCCGTGTCCAGCCAGACAAAAGCAACCACAAGTGCAGCCTCCCTGTGCAGATGAACACTTCAAGTATCAGTGATGAAGAGACCCCCCAAGTTCTCAGCCAGCATCCTATTGCTTGCCATAGTTGTTCCTTATTTATCAAATTATTTCTCTTTAACCTGGTGAAAGATTTCACAGGAAACCATAACTTGCTGTCATTCCAGACATACTATAGTATTTTCTACTGCATCACATTTTACAAACAATGCTCATGCTGTACACTTAGTGTCAAAGCTGTGCATTGAAATAAATTACAAGATGCACAACGAATAGCCAACTGATGTCAGTCATCAGAACCCCCAGAAGATGCAGAAATGAGCAAAGCCTCATATGGAGAAGCTTCTCATTTTTTTTTTGCCTTTGCAGTTGCAATTAGACTCAGTACTTTTCACTTCCTGTTCTTAATCGTTGTTTAGCGTTGCCGAGGGCAACTGAAGAGCTCTGGCTTTTCATCCTAGAAGAGGCTGGATTTGGTGGCAGTTAAAATGTCAGGATCCCTTAAACAAAGAGCTTCCTGTTTGGGTCCCATCAGGACACTATCCCGAGTCTAAATCTATAAAGATCTTGGTGGTGGATATCCTAGCTGCCTAATTGACTATCTCTCTCCATATGCTGCAGGCAAATAATTAGAACAAACAAAACATGTAATGTTTTTACCTCTAAGCCACCTGCTTTCTGAGCCTCCCCAAGTCTTCCTAGAGCAGTTGGATATAAGAAATACTGAGAAATTGAGGGCTTTCCAGGATCAAAGAGGTTAAAAAAGTTCCTGCCACAAAGGCTAAAAGGAGAACTAGGGCTATTTTCTCAACCATTTAGGCACCCCCTACTTCTGCCTAAATTGTCCATGTAAATTACTTACAAAATGGGGTTGCTTTGTACCTCCCTTGGAACTGTTT